ATTTCACGGAAATCTTTTTTTTTGATTTTATAATTTTACGCTTATCTTTTTTAAAATAATTCTAATTATTTTGATTACTACATTTTTTCATTGCTATTTTTTAACTAATCGATATTGCAAAGTATCCTCAATAAGACACATCATTTTTTTATTATTTCTGAAATCTTATTTTTCCATATTTTTCATTTATTGATTTCCTTACTCACAGATTTCCAAAATTTGATGTTTCTATTTTCTGTAAAATTTCCGACCGTAAAGAATCAATGAAACGCATTGTACTATTTTAGGGAATAATTTTCATAATCAAAAAGCCAGAACTTATTTTATAAAAGTAAGTCAATCGGTTTTCGTTAATTTATTTTATAAACGGTTTTCTATTCATAAAACCTTAGTAAGTTAGTAAAATTAAATAAAATTGAGAGAAATATCTTAAAAAATTAAATGATTAATCATAAATTGTCAATTATTTAAAAGTATTTATTTTTGTTGTAGTTGAAAATTTTACTTTACTATTAAAATAATTTTTTGAATAAAAGTATAATATTAAAAATTTACTGATATTTTTTTATTTTTATACAATATAAAGTATAAAGTTTAAAGATAAGCTAAGTATATGTCATATGATATCGATTATAAAAATCGTATATTTATTTCAGTTCTTAGATTAATTGCAATTACTGATTTGAGGAAGCTACTTTAATTATGTATGAAAACTTAGGTATGAATGAAAAATAAAATATAAGTAATGTATTAATCGTTAAAACCGATTATTAAAATATCTCAGTTTCATTAAAATTTTACAAATTTTTATAAATGATGTTATATATATTAATAATATATACTTTGTTTCACATGATGAGACACCATTTTTTAGTTTCAATAGCTTCTTCTGCAATGTCAGTTGTACTATCACTATTGTTAGGTTTCTTATCATACTCGAATTTGTATCCCTGCGCCTTGGGTGTAGAAACTTGAATAGGTTTTCTGAGATTTTTTAAATATTCAAGTGAAGTATTCAATATACTGTAATTTTGATCAGTTTTGAATTTTTTCACAGAATGGTCATTTTCAGTCAACTTGCGTTTTCTGTTTAATCGACTACTGTTTGGATCTGGAGAATCTGAGAGTTCAGACATAAAAGTGGAACGATCATGGGAGAACGACACATTTGAAGTGTTAACAAAAAGAGAATCATTAGGAGACATTTGACGTTGACGTAAAGTTACGTGCTTTAAACGTCCTATGGAATTCCTTCCAGATATTTTTCGCAATGTGCAACCAAATGATAGGTCTCTGAACGACTCTGACATCGAAGCATTTGGATCCGTGACATCCATTAATTTTGAATTATCTTTAAGACAATCATTCAGTTTTATTTGCACGTCTTTCAACATTATAGTCGAGTTATAGGAAATGAAGGATACATCATCTTCTTTAGCTTGAAAATTATCTTCGAACTTGTTCGGCTGTTCTTTTTCTGTTGGAACCGATTCCGACGTTGTAGATTCGACAGTATCTAACTGTGATTGATTATCATTGCTAGGTAAACTTTCAGTGTTGGTAGAAATTGATACTGCACTACGTTCTGTTTCTACCGTTTCAATATTTTTATTTACCGCAGTAACGGATTGGTCTTCTTGCAATTTATTATTTGTATCATCGCTTATTTCATAACCGTTTGAATTCTTTTTTAATTCATCCTTGCATTCAGTTGTTAACTGATTGTCTGTATTATCCTGTGTTTCGATCAAATTTACTTCATCATCATTATTGTCTTTCGTCGAGTTTTCTTCTGTTGTTTTTTGTTGTGGTTGCTCTGATATTATTTCGCATTCGTTATTAGAGCCGTTAACATTCGAAGTTACAGCTTCATTTTGAGTTTTTGGCTCTTTTTCTGAACTATCTTCATGTTTATTTTTGTGTTTAGACAAATCTTTTTTACTCCCTTTAGATTGAACTGCCGGCTCTTTTGTTTCTTGATTTTGTATTTTAATTGATGAGCGAGTTTTTGAATTGTCAGTAGAGGATGCTGCCGGAGTCGAAATTTTATCACCTTTATTAGAAGCTTGAGAATCCATACTGCTTGAAGTTGGTAATGTCTTCAATGATTTGGACTTGGTGGCACTTGTTGGTAATTTGCTCTATGATAAGAAAATAATATTAACTTTAAATAGCAAAACAATCAAGTTAATAAAGTAAAGAGAAAGAAAAGAGCATAAGAGAAACTTTTCACTTATGAATCATTTTAATTCTTAATTACCTTAAAATTCTTTGGCAAATTACTCCGTTGATTATTGTCAGCGGAACCAAGCCTGAAATTGAAAAATTCAGATTTCTCAATATGAATAATACAGATTCATATAACTAAATAAAAGGTAATATGCTAATTCAAAAAATCCTCTATTTGTGCGAAAAAACGGTAAGTTAAAAAAATTTTTATCTGAAAATCAATTCAATATCTTTTAATATGTATAATATTTTTGTTTAGGTTACCTAAATGATATGTATTTAAACTATTGCTTTTTGAAAATGTCAAAAAGTCGCTTTTAAAAAAATTCTGAGTTAAACAATTTGCTAATCAGAACGTCGATATAAGTTTGATAGATTGTTTAGTATTTTTGTCTTATAGCTGAGAGATGATTAATGATTAATGTAATGTTATAAGTTTCTTTTCGTGAATACAATGACATATATATGTACAAATTATGCACATTCATAAAAAATCAAGTAGAAGATTTTGAGACTTTATTTTAGAGTTTTTATTTTTCAAGGGTAGATTACGTTCTCAGAGTTTAAATAACTTTTTGAGTTGAAGTAAGTGATTTATCATACTACTGGAGTTTACATTTAATTAAATTAAGTCAGCAGTTTATGTCGGGCAATTTATCAGATAGTGGAGTAAACGCTAATTCAGTTGTATTTAATATATTAAGCAATAGAAAGAAATTTTTCGACTTCCTTGAAGCTTTGGAACGTAATTTTCATATTCTACGATCTATAAGTAATTGTTCGTAGTCTTTGCAAAGTCGAAGATACAATTTAAAAAATTCTGTCAATAAAGCCACTTAAAATTCAGAAATTTCATGAATTTTTAGATTACTGTAATGTAACTAAACAGTTTTACAGAATTAATTTCAAAAAAATTTATCTCTTGTTCATATAATTATTTTATTATAATTTTTATAATTAAATGAGCCAATTATGAATTAGTAAATATATTTTAACCCACTGTATATTCATTTATGTAATGTGTTTTAACGACTCATCATAAGAGTTCATTAAATAAAAAAATCAATGAGTATAATGAGATTACCAGAAAGACAATACTAACCTTGCTATATACGATTGTTTCGAAGCCGATTGTTCATTTGTATTAGTGTTTTTTGAGAAACCGATGATTTGTACCTCCGAATTATTTTTATCGTCGTCTTGATGAACTTTTGAAGACTTCTGCATGACTTTATTAATAGTCTGTAAGATGTAATAAAAAAATAAGTCTATTTATTTAGACGCTTTCTACGTACAAGAACATCAAATTAAATTATTAGTGGATTTAGCATAAATAAAAAAATTGGTATTTGTTTGATATTTTTTTTACGAGTATAATTTTCTTTTTTAATTACCTTCTTAGATATTTTTGAGTGATTAATTAAAACGAACCGGTCGTTTTTTCAAATCAAAACTTTAAATACAACCCACTGAATATTGAATTTTAATTATATATGTACGAATACCTATATAAATATTGAACTACTCACGATGAAAATAACACACGTTGACTAATAAAATACTCTTAAAATTGAAAATTCAAGAAAACGTGGTGTGGTGTGGTTTAATTATACATAAAAACACCTCTCGAGTAATTGAGAAAAACTTGTTATGTGTACATACATAGTTAAGATTTTAAGATTCATATAGATATGTACTTGCTCTAATAAATACAACGCTATGACGTGTTCAGTCAAAACAAGTTTATGGCTGACCAGTACTTCGGATTTTCAGAAATTTCATTTTTATACTAATGAAAATCAAATGATTAAAAAAAAATTATGGTAAGTTTTGTAGAGGCTTTATATTTTTTTTTTATTATTCACAAGCTTATTAAATTAAACAGTTAATTAAAAATGAAAATTCAGTAAAAATACCAATTTAGGTATATTTACTGTCGGAAATGACGTAGTGACGCTTTTCTTATCAAGCATTTTGCATCAAGCGTCATCAGCGTCACGCGTCACGACGTACTAAACTTGTGACGCAACTAGTTGCATCCAGCAGGTGCCGCTACCTGTTATGAGAGTGGGAATTCAAATAAAATATTCAAATAATAAAATATTATACAATTAAAATTAGTTTAATTTTAAGTTCAAAATAAATATTCAAATCATTTATTTAATGCTTTTACTTTTACTTATTGTAATAAACATCGTTTAGATAACTCAGTTTTATTTATAAAAAGAAATAAAATAAAAATTTATATTTCGATACAAAAGGACTTTGTAACCGAGTTCACAGAACCCATCCGAAGACACGATAGTGTCTCGCGCCAAGTACACGTCCAACATATGGCGTGAGACAACGTGTCTTTATTCTCTAATCATATGTCAACATAACCTCTTTACATATTTAGCTCTATATTTTTTATTATTACTAAGACACTAACACTTTACACCATTGTTAATAAGTTTCTTTTTACCAATTATACATATATTACAAAAAAATGTTGGGTCTTAACAATTATTTAACTAATCGCGAGTTTGAAAATTTTTACTTGCGCCTGTTTTCAATTCTACGAGAGATTTTACAAATTTAGAGCGAATTTTATTATTTCGAAGTTGGCACTACTTAACTCTGTTATTCTACCATCTAAATAGCTAGTATACTAAATACTGAACTTAGCGCCCATAAGTAGTTGGTCTTTAGTTTAGAATTCCAATACTTGGTGTGCATTATAATCGAATGATGCACACTAAGGACATTTAATTTTTTTCCTTAATATTTACTGTCTTTAACGTTTTTTTTAATCTACAAAATTTTTTGTACTTGGATTTTTTTTTTTTCGATTTAATAATTTTTTGTAAAAATTGAATTATCAAGGTTTGTAACAATAGTTGGACGTGTACTTGGCGCGACGGTTTACAGTGAAACTGTTTTTTGTGGGATAAAAAGTACTTGAGTAATTCCAGGATTATTTCTCGCCACATGAAACTTGAAACTCTATGCGGAAAAGTCATAAAAGACACGTCTGAAATTCAATAGACCCTTGTTCTAAAGTAACAAATAATTTACGTTATATAACTTAATATATAGATTTTAAAAGGGTCTGTTAAATTATTAAAAATAGAACATAGTTAAATAAAACATAACGGCTGTATTACTAAAAGTATTTATAGCGAAGTCTGATTTTCAGGCCGATAAGCTGAAATAAATAATATATAGATATATAACAAAAAATACACATATTGGTGTTTAAGGATCATTTATGTGTAGTAGAAAGTATGTGTACTTATGTATTTCTTGGAGTGGATGTATGTATGGGAATTATGGTGGGAGAAGAATGGAGTTTGTGAAGTTCATCGGAAAAACTATATGTAACGACACTTCTCTTCGAAAGCTTAGATTATTAAGATCACGTCATTGTCAACCTCAATTTTATAATTTGAAGGCATTTCCCAAGCGTCACAAAAAAAAAAATGTTGACTTTTTCATAGATTTCACTCAACAAGAAGTTGAAAAATAATAATCAACTTAAATTCAACAAAACATTAACAAAAAAAAATTTGTGCCGCTTGGGTTAATATCTTTTGTCAACTTAAATAATAAATTGAAAGCAACCAAATAATTTTTATCAAAATTAAATATCGTACATAAATCTCTTTTATTTAAAAAATATTCATTTCTCGCGCTGAAACCGAGTATTTTATATTTTATACTCCCGGGCGAAAGAACTACAGTAAAGGCGAATTTTCATAAGACTAGCAACCATGTTGGTGTTGGAACTGAAAAAAATGGCGGTTGATTCTAAATTTTCTGTGTAACGAAAATGGGTTAGAGAATTATAAAGAAAAAATTTAGTATATACTTATTCTTCGTTTATTCATTCACTTTTATTTTCTATAAAAAAATTTTATGGAGCTAATAAAAAAAATTAAAAATGATAGTTGATGGTTTCTTAACTATAGATGTAACCAAATACATTTCGGGTCTTATTAATTATTAAGAACTATTATATAGAGTAAAGGATTGATAGTTTTAAATAAATATTTTGAGTTTCAAGAAAATTCGACAATTTATTGAGTTGATAAAATTTTTATTATTTTTGACTGAGGACAGCGCTACTAGTGGACACTTGACACATCATAAAAATTCAATGTTTTGTTATCTATATGTTTTAGCCTCAAAATCTTGCAGACGTAAAAAAATTAAAATTACCCGCTGTAACATCAATAAGAACATTTAAATTGTGAAAACAATATTATTTGGCTGAATTTTGGTTAATATGGTTACTTTTTAAGAATACTGATGTTAAAGGTAAAAAAATAATATCCTTTTATGATACTGATGAATACTTTGAGTGTTCCAAAAGAGTTGTTGACACTGTTTTAATCAAAGAAAATGATTGTAATAATATCAATGTTGTTTACTTATGATGTAGTAATTTATATATATATAATCAGTAATGGTGATATAAATTGTTATTTTAGTTCAACATCAAAATGAGTTGTATCTGAGTATTTTAGCAAAAATAACAATATAAAAAATGGCAAGTCTCAATAGTGTTATGAAGGCTATAGAAAGCCTTAATTCACACCAGGATGATGAATATGCTGATCTGCGATTGAGGTAATTAATTACGACAAAACAAAAAAATATTTTACTTACATTTGTCAATCAATAATTAAACTGATATTTGATTACAGAAAGGAAGAAAAGATGAATTATTGTTCAGCTATAGCTAATGGAATTAGTTGTGCATCCGTAAGAAGTGCTCGTAATTTTTCTCAAATTCTTAGCATGTCAGTAAGAACTTTATTAGATATTTGTGCTGATATGGATGCAGATGTTAGATCAGTCGCTGATGAATGTCTCAACAAAATAATAAGAGTAACTAGTTTATTTCTTATATTTTTTAAAAGAATATTTAGTATTTTTGCACTTAAATTTAAGTAAAAAATTGATTAATTTTTAGTCAATATCGGATGGGAATATTTTAAAAATTCAGTTTGAATTTTACAATGAAATCCATAAAAACGGTAATTGTAATTCTTTACGTGCAGCTTTACATCATTTTGGACATTTAAGTCATACAATAAGACCTGCTAAAGGCAAACCATATATTTCAAACCTAATTCCATGTATTGTAAATATTTCTCAAAGAACTGAAGAGTCATTAATAGAAACGTTATCTCAATCCTTGCCATCAATATTTAAAAGTTTAGGAATATTTATGTCAGATAGAGATGTAAAGGTATGCGCAGTATAAAATAATTCTTAATATTTATATAATTCAATAAAATAAAATAATTAATTTTTTAGACTTTACTAAAAGCTTTTTATCCAAATTTATCTTCATCACAAGCATTTTTTCGACGATGTGCAGCTAATATGATTTTAACAACATGTATTTATTGTCACAAACCTAAAATATCTTTATTTTATGTTATACGTTATCTTATAGGTAATTATTTAAATTACTGCAACTACTTAATTATTATTATGCTATACCTAGTAAGATTTATTTTTCAATTAAATTATTCTTCTTTTTCAGATTCAATGATAACTATATCAAATGTTGGAGAAAGTTCTCATCTTGTGGAAGGATCTTTAGGTTGTCTTAGAATAATGTTACCCTACATTGATAATTTATATAATGAAAATTCAGATTTTAATCATGATGAATGTGATAGTCTTCTACAAATATATAAATTATGTTTACGGTTTATACAGTGGCATTCAGATCACAATGTTGTTAATGCTGGTTTAGAAACTTTAGTTCAACTTTTACGCACCAGCAATCAAGAATTAATTACTATACTTACATCAAGCAATGGGATTAGCATAAATGATAGTAAAATTGTATCTGTCGACGGAAATATCACTTTGCCTTCAAATGATGGTAAATTTGGTAAGAGTATAAAAATTTTAAATATATTAGTTGTTTGGATTAATTACTGATTTGGGTCTATATTATCTATTAATTACAAATCTAAATAACTAATACCTTGAAATATCTTTATTAATGAAGATAACAAGTTTAATCTTTATTTTACAGAGATACTGTCCATTTCACTTATAAAAATTGATTTAAATTTCAGATAGAGTTGATGAAGAAATTAGTGTAAAAAGTATCAAGAATGTAGAAGATACTAATATATTAGAATCTAATGAATCAAATTTTATGAATGTCGTTGATGACACAAAAAAAAGTTTGAGTATAGGATCTATTGATGATTCGGATG